CAAACCCACCAGCCACTCCTCGGAAGGAAGATGGGGCAATCTACTTCCGTAGTGATACTGCCTCAGAAACCCAAGGAGGGGTCGCTAAAAGTCGGGTCTGATTCGACGGCACATAACAACAACAACAACATAAGCGTGTGAGCCATTTTCCTAAGATAAATGTCTCTTTCTCTCTCTCTTTCTATAAGCTTTGCTGGTTTTGCTTCTCTAGAGAACCCCCAGGGCATTTGATGCATTTGAATTGGGGTGTAAGCTAAAAATACTGAAGACCATGGACTGCCAGAAAAAGAAACAAATCTGTCTCTGAAGAAATACAGCTGATGTGTTCCTTAGATGCAAGAATGGCCAAACTTTATTTCATGAACTTTGGTCATATTGTCAGAAGAGACCATTCCCTGGGGAAGAATATCATGCTTGGGAATGTAACTGTTCAGCAAAAAAGGAGGAGACCCTCAATAAGATAGATTGACATAGTGCAGGGGTGAACAGTGTTTTGTTCTGTTGTACATAGCGTTGCTATGAGGCAGAACTGACCAAATGGCACCAAAGAACAACATTAAAATCGATTAGAAGTTTAAATAACTCACTTTGATACATGCTTTTGGTGCTCATCCTGCTTGTATATTAAAAATTGCCCATTTGTGCTTTTGAATGTTCAAATTGTATACTAAAATAAAATGGGCATTTCACACGCTTACAAGAATGCAGTGTGAAAAATCTCAGTATGGCTTAAGGTTTCAGGCATAGTTAATTGGCTCTGTGATCTCTGGTTCTAAATGGAAGTCAGGATGTGACAGAGTGACAGAAATCCATAGACTAGAGACCTCTTTAGTGAAAAATCTTCAATCTCTTCCTCAACAAATTCTTTTGTTCTTTTTTTGGTATACGTTGGTCCCCCCCCCCGCCCCCCGCCCCATATCTTTCTATGAATGGGAATTTTTTTTCCTTTCAGTGTTAATAAAATAATGAAACAGTGCAGTGTTTTTCAAATATGAACTTAAATATTAAGCATCGCTCCTGACAAATTTGTAGATTTTATCTTCAACCTTCCGGAAATTTTTTTGTATCCCTCTCCCCCACTTCCCCATTCCTTATTTCCTAAATGTAAGAAGATCAGTGGTTGTGTGTTACGTTTTATGGAGAAGATTTTCACATTTTTTTATTTCAAAAATATCATTAGTTTTTACTGTTGTAGCTCTCCAGGCTATCTCCAATTAGTTAATACTTGTCGACTAATTCTTAAAATAAAATTACTTTAATTCTCTGACAGTTTTAAAATTTGTGTGGAACAAACCGCTTTTGTCTTGTTTAAAGCTCGGGAATGATGGCCCCAGGTATGCACCTGTGGGGCCCTGGATGAGAGTGTGCTTTTCCTGCAGGTCTCAGCTACTTTTGCAGCCAGTCTAGTCAGCAGTCCAGCCATTGGAGCATACCTATCTGCCAGTTATGGAGACAACCTTGTCGTACTGGTGGCCACAGTGGTGGCTCTTTTGGATATCTGCTTTATCTTATTGGCTGTTCCAGAATCTCTGCCAGAGAAAATGAGACCTGTTACTTGGGGCACTCAGATTTCATGGAAACAAGCAGACCCTTTTACGGTAAATAAAAACATGTTTATTTTCCTAAATATTTTGCTAAGGCGTACAACTGAACATTTCTGTAATTGCAAGGATCCATTTCTTTTTCCAGTAGAAATTGAAAAATTTAGTTGCAGGTAATGGATTGAGGGAGTCTGAGCACCAGGAAAGAATAGAATTTGACTTCTTAGTCAAACATGTTACTTAAGGGAGAACAAATGTCCACGTATTTCTTGTGGAGGGTTTGGGAAAGAAAATTTTTTCTTTCTTTGCATGGTTGTTTGCATCCATTGTTAACAAAACGAAGGTACTTGAAGTGGGCATTTTCATTTTCTTTAATTCAAAAAGTATAAATGCATTTGGTCTAATTAAAGTGATAACTAAATTGTTCATAGACATCCACTTTGACCAGAGGCTTTGAACTTGTATTTTGCACATTAAATAGAATCTTTGTTTTCTGTAGTATAGTGTGTGTGTGTGTGTGTGTGTGTGTGTGTGGTGGAGGGTAGATGTCACATTAACAACTAGAAAAAATCCTGAGTATTACCATAACCCCTAGTCTTAACCTGATTTCAAATTGTTCTTGATATGTTTAGGAAAAAAAGTAGAGATTTGATTTTTGCTTTTTATTCCCCAACTTCCCCTTTCAGGAAAAAATATTTGTAGTAAGAAAACTAACTCATATCATAAGAAATTCTTTTCTGAAAAGCCCTCTTGAGGCATAACTGGGGGCTCTGCCTGCCCTGATGGTGCCACTGTTTTAAAGAAGGATATGTTTGCAGTGGAAAGTCAGCTGTACCTTGGAAAGGCACTTCTCCTTTCTTATCATGTAGTGATTAAGTTACACACAGAAGGTCCTCTGTAAAACAGATGTGGTAGATTACTTTTCAGAGCTGTTATGAAGACTTCAGTTAATAAGTATAAATTATCTAGTCTAGGATTATGTATGTAGTAGGGACTCAATAGATACTAGCTACTTTGGCTATGATTAATATAAAGATATAGTTATTATGACTTAAAACAGACTCCATTCCTTAGTTATTCAACAGTTCTGTGTGGAAAGGAATAGAAGAATTTTTCAACAAGGTTGTAACATTCAAAAAGTCATTACTGCTCAGAGTCACTCTTGGTATCACTGACCCCACAGCTGGTGCATACTTACTATCTACTAGTTTTACAGGCATATAATTGAATATTGAATACACTCTATGCTGACTTTGACTTTAAAGAAGTTACATTATGAATGAGATGGTAAAGTGATTTTCTTAAAAGGCTCCAGGGGAGTATATTTTTTTCCAGATCTGTGAATGTGAATCAGTATTGTTAACAAAAATGAGGACATGTTTGTTTATTCCCCCACCCCCATGGGGGGGGGGGGACTGCCAGCTGAATCTGTCATGTTTGAAGCACAGACCTCTGAAATTAGTATCTGTGACTTCCATAAAGATAGATAGTGAGAGATTTAAAGTTTACTTCCTTTTATAATTCAGTTAAATTTTGTTATTGACCTTTTAAGATCAAACAAGTAAACCAATACCAAAGAATATAAGTGACATTAGTATCTTTTTTTTTTTTAATTTCTCTTTCTGTTTATTACCAGTCACTGAAGAAAGTTGGGAAAGATTCTACTGTTTTACTAATCTGCATCACCGTGTTTCTTTCATACCTTCCTGAAGCAGGACAGTATTCAAGTTTTTTTCTCTATCTCAGGCAGGTAGGTAGCCTTTGAACTTGAAGAAAATAAAATATTGGAACTGTTTAAAGATATTTTGGGGAAAATAATGTAGAGAAAAAAATAAGTAAGTTTGCTTATAGTTAAATAAATGTACATGCTGATATAGATAAAGTAAACCAGTTGCCTTCAAGTCAACTCTGACTCACAGGAACCCCATGTTTCAGAGTAGAACTGTGCTCCATAGCAAGGGACCTTTAATGCAATAATGTTTGAAAATACATTAAAAGGTTTACTATGGGGAAAAAGAATTCTATGGTAGTTAAACAGAGAGAAGGAATTTTCAAAAGAAGAATTAATCATGACATTTTAACTTTTTAATATTATCCATTAAATTTCACAGAAAGCTAAGGTTTATCTCAGGGATGTTCCTGATTTGGGTCTCATACCACAGCTAACTTTTTGTGCTAGAAGGAATGTCATCTGCAGCAGGCAGCAATATTCTAGTCCATAGCTCAGTTGGTGTTATAGACTTCAAGGTTGCTAGTAAACAATATTTAAAATAATCTTTTATCTTCTCTTTTTTTTTTTCTCTTAAAAAAAATTATCCTATTTTTTCCCCAAAATAGACAATTGCCTTAAAGCAACTTAAAAAAAAAAAAAAAGAAGCAGCAGCAGCTTCCTTTTCCAGTTGTTCTTTCTTAGTGAAATCACTAGACTGACATTCTGCTAGAAATGAAAATAAAAATGTTATTTAAGGACTAGAATAATTTTTGAAATGGGAAGAATTTACAGACTTTTCCATGCAAGATATTGCAATGCCCTGAATTACTGGGACAACAGTATGTAAAACTGGAATAAATGGACAGATTTCTAGAAACATTACCTATCTGACACAGATTGAGGTAAAAAATTCGAACAGAACCATAACAAAACAAGATATCCAACAGGTCATAATTTTTTTTTTTTTTTTTTCCCCAAAAGAATGTCCTTGCCCAGATGACTTCACTGGTGAATTCTACCACAAAGTCAGAGAAGAGCTGTCAGCAAGTCTACTCATACTATTCCAGAACTAGAAAAGGAGGGAATAGACTCTAATTCATTTTATGAAACTACTATAATCCTGATACCAATCTGAAGCAAAGACAGCACTAAAAAAGAAAATCGTGGTCCAATATCCCTCATGAACATAGATGCAAAAATTCTCCCCCCCCCCAAAAAAAAGTCCTAGCCAAATCCAGCAACATGTCAAAATAATAATACTTTATCACCAAATTGCATTTATACCAGGTATGCAAGGATGGTTCAGCATTGGAAAAACAATCAATGTAATTCCCTGCATAAATAAAGGAAAAAAAAAAAACGTGATCATAGCAATTGATGCAGAAAAGGCATTTGACAAAATCCAAACCTTTTCTTTGGGGAAAAAAAAATCAGCAAAACAGGAATAGAAGGGAAATTCTTCATACACGCAAAACCAACAGCCAACATTGTTCTCAATGAAGAGAGACTGAAAGCATTCCCCTTGCCATCGGGAACCATACAAGTATGCCTTCTGTCACCATTGTGTTCAGTTTTGTATTGGAAGTCCTAACCAGGTCAGTGAGGAAAGAAAGAGAAGTAAAAAGCATCCAAATTGGCAAAGAAATAATAAAACTATCTCCATTTACAGATGATAATATGATACATTAAAAAAAAAAATCCCAGAAATTCAACAAAAAAGATGCTGGAATTATTAGAAGTATTCAGCAAAGTGGCAGGGTACAAGATCAACGTACAGAAATCAGTCAGATTTCTCTACACTAACAAAGAAAATGCTGAAAAAGAAATCAGGAAAACAATATTATTTATAATAACCTCCAAAAAAATAAAGTACTTAGGAATATATCTTACTAGGGGCACAAGATGTATACAAAAAGTAGTACATGACGCCACTAACAGAAATCAAAAGAGGACTACCCATAAATGGAAGAATGTATCATGTTTGTGAATAGGAAGACTTAACATTGTCAAAATGTCAGTACTCCCCAGTGCGATCTACAGATATAATGCAATCCCAATCCAGATTCCATCATCATTCATTGAAGAAATTGAGTAACTAATCACCATCTTTATATAGAAAGGAAAGAGACCTCAGAAAAGCAAGGACAACTATAAAAAAAGAACAAAGTAGGATGCTTCAAACTTCCTGATATCAAAACGTCCTACATAGCTGCGGTAGTGCAAACAGCCTGGTACTGGTACAATGACAGATACATAGACCATTGGAACAGAATTCTGAAATCAGAAGTAAATTCATCCACCTATGAACAGCTGATCTTTGAAAAAGGGCCAAAACCCATGACATGGGGAAGAGATATTCTGTTTAACAAATGGTCCTTTTCAAACTGGATATCCATTTGCAGAGAAATGAAACAGGACCCATTTCTCACACTGTATGCATATACCATATTCAAAAACAAACTCAAGATGTATCAAAAAACCTAATATAAAGCCTAAAATTATAGAGACCATCAGAAAAAGTAGGGACAAATTTAGGGGCCCTAATACATGCCATAAATACACTATCAAACATAACTAAAAACACACTAGCACCAGAAGACAAAATAGTTGACTGGGTCTTCCTAAACATTAGACATGTATGTGCATGAGAAGATTTCACAAAAAAGTAAAAAAGAGAACTCATAAACTGGGAAGGAAAATTGTGCCAATGACATTGTAACGAGACTAATCTCTAAAATTTATAGAAAACTTCAACACCTCAACAACCAAAAACACACGATCCAATTGAAAAATGGGAAGAGGACTTGAACAGACACTTGTAGAAAGAAGACATTCAGGTGGCCAATAAACACATTAAGAAACGCTAGTGATCATTAGCTATTAGAGAGATCAAATCAAAACAATGAGATAACATCTCCCCCAGTGTGATGGTTATGTTTGGATGTCAACTTGGCTAGGCCTGGTTGAGTGGCTGGGCAGCTGGATGTAGTATTCCCCATGATGAGATTGGTAATCATCTCCATGGTGGAATCTACTGGGAGCAGCTGAGTAGCTGCCTTTGGGTATGTGGTCTGCTTCCTGTATATAAGGAGAAACTTTGAGAATGGTCTCTAGCCTTTGGCATGCTTGGACCCTCCATGTAGCTGTGTCATTGCTTAGCAGCTTGCTATGCTCTGCCAACCTTGGGACTTAAGTTAATGGCCTGCTGTGTGGATTGGTAACATCAGGACTGTGCCTTTTTACTTGTCAACCTTGGGGCTTCTCAGCCTTAGCAGCCAACAGCTGTCTGACTGAAGAAATGCCTCTAGCTCTATTGGGCCAGGAGCAGGAGGCAGAACTGGACCCCAAGGTTGAGGAGCTGTCACCCAGCCCCTAGAGCCTGGCACTTTGAACTTGGACTTAAAGCCTCCAAATTGTAAGAATAAACTCCTGTTTGTTAAGGCCATCCCATTTGTGGTATATTTCTCATCAGAGCAGCACTAGGTAACCAGGACACCTAGTATTAATAGCAGAGTTCAAAATAACAGAAAAGTACAAATGCTCACGAGAGTATGGAGAGATGGGAACCCTCGTACACTACTGGTGGGACAGTAAAATGATGCAGCACTGTGATAGACGGTATGGCACTTCCATAAAAAGTTGGAAATAGAAATGGCATATAATCCAGCAACTCCACTACTAGTGTATATCTTGCAGAAATAAGAGCCATGGGCATGAATAGATGCACACCCACAGTCACTGGAGCACTATTCACAATAGCAAAAAGATAAAAACAACCTAAATGCCCATCAGTGGATGAATGCATAAACTCTTGTACAGATACATAATGGAATACTAAGCAAGTTAAAGAATAATTAATCTGTGAAACACCTCCTAACATGGATGAACCTAGAGGACATTATGCTGTGTGAAATTAGTCAACCACAAAATGACAAATATCATATGAGACCACTATTGTAAAAAAAGACAAGGAAAGCTTTCCACTCACAAAGAGATATTCTTTGGTAGTTACCATGGGTGGGAGTTGAAGGGAGGGTAAACCACTAGATGATAGGCACATATTACCTTGGATGAAGGTAAAGGCAGTATACAATAAGGGGGAGGACAACAATAAATGATCAGGGTAACAAAAGATTCTGGGAGAAGTCCAGATTTAAAGGCAAAAGAGGTAAATACTATTACACTGACAATCCTGCAGTAACAGTAATAATCTGCCAAAAAATCAAAATGAAATTCACTGCTGTCGAGTCGATTCCGACTCATGGAGGACCCCTCTTTGGGTTTCTGAGGCGGTATCACTACAGAAGTAGATTGCCCAATCTTCCTTCTGAGGAGTGGCTGCTGGGTATGAACCGCCAGCCTTCTGGTTAGCAGTGAAATGCCTTAGGCACTATGCCACTAGAGCTCCTAATACTAATCTACAAGTAGATATGTGGACACATAAGCTGAACAGGTGTGGGAAGGAGAATGGGACTATACCATTGTTCTGGTTACCTAGTGCTGCTCTGACAAGAGCAAATGGGATGGCTGGAACAAACAGGAGTTGATTCTCTTACAGTTTGGAGGCTTTAATTCCGAGTTCAAAGTGCCAGGCTCTAGGGGCTTGGGTGAAAGCCCCTCAAGCTTGGGCTTCAGCTTGGCCTCCTGCTCCCAGCCCACTGAAGCACTCAGACAGTTGCTGACTGCTGAGACTGACAAGCCCAAGGTTGGCACAGTCCTGATGTTACCAGACTACATGACAGACCATTAATTCAAGTCCATTGAAAGTCCCAACGTCGGCAGAGCATGGCAGGCTGCTGAACAACAACACGGCTACATGCAGGGTTCAAGCGTGCCATAAGCTAGAGACTGTTCCCCAAGGCTTCTCCTTATATACAGGAAGTAGACCATATCCCTAAGGCAGCTACTCAGCTGCTCTAGTAGATTCTACCAAGGAGTTGATTACCAATCTCATCATGGGGAATACTACATCCAGCTGCCCAGCCTCTCAACCAGGCCCAGCCAAGTTGACACCCAAACTTAACTACCACAACTGTGAA